AGGAAGCGATAAGACCAGAGTGTTGAAGGGCTTGGTGTTTGTGACACGCATTAAAAAAATAGATATATTTTTTGACTTTTACTGTAATTATCTTACACCAACTACTCTTCTCTGAACAACTTTCTTGTCAGTATCTGTCTATATTCTCAAAATGCATGATTTTTACATTTTTTCCTTTCAATTAGTGGTATACAATTGGAATGCTTTCTTACATGCCTTTCTTTGGTAAGTGAAGTTAGCCTGCCAGGATCTGTGCCATTTCAAAGTTTATGAACATTTTCAACTCTGGTTGAAAAATAATTTAATATTAGATAATTTACCACAGACAATTTCTGTTGAAAAATCTAGTATCCTGCAATAAATCTCTGGTTTTGAATGTTACAGTGAAATTGAGGTTTGAGGTGGGGAGGAGGAAGAGGGATAAGAATCTTTTCAAATTAATTTTGATTGGGGTTTAGTTTGCATTTGCAGTTTAATAGTGAGCATTATGACCTTGTACAGCAGTCTCATACTGAAGAGGCTGGTGTGTGGTCTAAATGCCTCAGCATATTATTAACTGTTTAATAAACTTCCTTTGTAATAGCTCTTAGCCTCAGAAAAGTATTTTTTGTTTGTAGATGTTTGGGTGCTTTAGAAAAGGTGTAAATGTCACTGTTCCGTTTCAGCAGTGTTGCAGATTGCTATTTACTGGAGATTTCAAGTTAATTTTACTGTGGGAAGCTCTACATGCAGAGAAATAGCAATAATATGAAAAAAAAAATTTTACTCAAGTTGCACAACAGTTTGTTGGAAAGGCTCGGAGTAGAACCCAGCTTGCCTGATCATTATTTTAGTCTGTTACTCGTTTTCCTCCACAGCCTGTTTTCAGCACTTGATAGAGACTTCTGCTTAAAAAGATCAAATTGCAAAAGTGGGATTCAACATTTTAAACCTATTGTATATCAGAATATAAGTGTGCTTTCTAAGGTCCTTGCCAAGGTCCTTTTTATTTTCTTTTTTTTTAATTTTGCTTTATTCTTTGCTTTGTTTCATGTCTGTTCAATTTTATTTATTCCATGTTTTCTTTTTGTTTTGTTTTTGTTTTTAGTTGTGTCTGGTAAGTTGAAATTTTATTGGCCATCTTCTAGTCATCGTATCACTGTGACGGGAACTTCTCCTCCCCACCCCATCCATCCCCTTCCATGTCCTTCAACCAGTCAGCTCCCATCTTTTACTTGTTATTGACAAGACACATCGCACAGAATAAATTCTGCATGAAGTATGGGTAACTTAATGGCAAAGAGAAAGGTAATGGGTTGCTAACTTTCGGTCTGTTTTTATGTGATGTAACGAGTGAAATCCTAATGTCTTCCTTCTTCTGTGACTGCATTAGTTGAACTTCAAAGTGTTCTATAAAAAATTATTTTTGTTTTAAAGGTCTCAAGGATAGTTGTTCTTCCCTTAAGTGGATTATTATTTCAGCATCTTCTACAATATGTTCTCCACATACCCCAAGTATGTGACCTAAGGTGTGAAAGCAAACTGAAGTTAAAAAAAAAGTGAAAATGTTTCCAGCAAAGTGAACATTGAATGGAATTTAATAACAAAGTTTCACTTAACCTGCTTTTAATTCCTCTGACATTGCAGCTAATAGGGTTTTTACTACTACCTTAATGGCAGTAAATTTATAATAATGCACATACGCACAATATGGATATATATTTAGAATAAGACACATACAAAATGCATATTTAGCGTAACATCCAGAGAAACATATGCCTAATTACATTTTATAAATTCTACCGTGGTTACCTGAAAGACTGAATTTCCCATCATTTTTTTGTGTTCAGTAGTCCCTGAAGGGTCAGTTTCAGGTACAAGAAGCACAAGCATTCAGCTATTTCTCCAGCAGCCAGAACCATTTTAACCTCTTTACAGCTGTACCCATTCTCAAGTTCAACCGAATCTGAAACCTGATAAATGCTGTGCATTGTCTCAGGATTTAGAAACTCTCAGTTCCGTTTTCGGTGCCATTGTGTCACAGACTAGTACGGAACCAGCCAAGCCCTAAATTTAACTATATGCTAAATTTATTCTTGTTATTAGAATCCAACAGCATAACAAAGGTGCTTCACCCTCATCTCCATTTTCCCCATAATACCTGACAACCCCGTGGCAACCTCCCAACATTTTCACCTTCTGTTCTAAATTAAACGTGCTCTCATGTCAATGTCTTCCCTCATCTTCTTCCAAGGTATTGATGTCATATTTCGGAGCTAAATGTTTTGAAGTCTGCTAATTACTTTAGGTCAATCTCATCTTCACTTTGGGTAGTTTCTTATCTAAATTAACTCTAGGGAAGGTAGCGTTTGCATCCAAACATAAATAATAATGTCTTGTGGTTTAAAAATTCCTTCCAACGCAGGAGAGTCGTAGGAAGAGTGTATTCTAATACAGACTCGACAGGGAGCAGAGACACAAGGCACAAGGAACAGATGACTGAAAGTATTTGCCCACATGAACCCTGAAAGCAACTTTTTTAGAAAGAACTCTGTTACTTTGACTGTTCATTCTAGATATATCCATAATTAATTGTTTTTTATAAAACTTACTGAGTGATAACTTTAAATTATATGATTTGAACACTTTTTAAAGGAAGATCTTGTAAATACAGAAATGTTTGAAAGGAGGAAAAAAAAGAAAAAAGAAAAAACAAACACCAAAAACATTTAGTTACTAAACTTCAATTCAAATCATCCCCTTTATTCTCAACCCAAAGAAGAGGGAGAGAATAATTGGTTTTGGACAGATGATCAGAAGGAATTGGAAATGGATGAGTAAATGGACGTGCACATAATACACATTTTTCCAGAAGTGAGAGTTAACAGCCTGTAAAACACGCTAGATTTATTTTCTGTGCTAGCCCCTGCAAGATACCCTATGCTTTTTTTTTTTCATGTGACTGACATGATTTTTTGACATTCTATTTACTACTGGATGAAGGGGTTGTTGACGTCTGCGTAAATCAAACGGTTTGGACAATGCTGGCATGCACTATTTATAATGTTAGGCTGAGCAGATGTTTCAAATTTGCCTTCATTTGCATATATATTTTGTTTGAACATGCCCTTGCCTATGTAAATGAGGAAGACATTTAGCTCTGCTGTTCCTTGAAATTCATTCTTCTTCAGTAGTTGGATTGAAGATTCTAAATGGTTATAATTTGTTCAGTCATATTTCTGAGGCTTTTGACTTTGAGACCCCGACTACATCAAAAGTCTCTTATCTAAGCAATTAAGGGCTTCTTTCTCCTCAGCTTTCCTAAATCAAAGATGATGATTTTTGTGCATGTGAGCCTGAATTCATAGTTACCCAACAGTATTTTTTGCAGTCCTTGACAAAGTGTGGCCTGTGGGCCAGTTGTGTCTCAAAGATTTCTCCATTCTGACTCCATTCGTGGGAGTTGGACTCGATAATCCTTATATGTCTCTTCCAACTTGAGATATTCCTTGACTTGTAGCCATATTCCTCCTTTAAAAAACAAGTTGTTACAGATTTGTTAATATTAGTGACTGTTGCTCTGCGAGTTGACCCATTAAGTCATCAGGACGTACTTTCTTGTCTAAGTGGTCACTAATAAAAGCAAGTGATGCGCAGTCAGGGTTTGCATTGGGAGGTCCAGCAACAGAAAAGGTGATCTGAGTGATGCTGAAGCTTTGGCTGTTAGAGGCTGATGTGTCTTTGCGCTGCCTCTCCCTGTTACAGAAACTTAGCTACTCTGTTTTACACCATTTAAAGTCAGTAGGCAAATTTTGGCTTTCAATTAGGCTAATTTTGGTCTTTTGATAGTGGTGTGATTTATGTTTTTTCTGATGTTTTCCTTTTTCAGAGCCTCCGCAGTTTGTTGTTAAGCCTCGAGATCAGGTAGCTGCACTGGGGAGAACAGTGACTTTCCAGTGTGAAGCAACTGGAAACCCTCAGCCAGCCATCTTTTGGCGGAGAGAGGGAAGTCAGGTAAAACAGATTTTCTGTCCCTTCTTCCTGGCAGTTTCTTGAAGAGATGATGTCACATGAAAGAAAAAGGCTTTAATTACTGGTTTTAAGATGTGAAAATTAGGTCTGGAGCTTGGAGTTACTGGATGTTTCTTCTCCGTGCATGTTAGGTGGTGCCAGCCTTCCTAGAAGGAATATCTGTATGTTTTGCTCAATCTCCCGTTTTCTCCATGAATGTAAAAATAAGTCTGTGAAACAACTAGAAGCACTCCGTGTTCACTAACATGAAAACCTTTTTGACCTGACGGGAAGGACCTTTAAAGAGATGCAAAGATGACTAATGCTGAAGTCATAATGCTAAACGCTCCCAAATTTTCAGAAAGTTTGGCTCTGGGTTTATGGTGCAGCTGTTAGTTTGCCACATGTTTGCGTGTGCCTGACAAACTGAACCACTGGCTGTGTTGATCTGCCTCACTCCATGGGCAGGACACTAGATTGGGAGATACACTTTCCCACTCAGTCAGTTGGCTGACAGGTCGTACCTGAATAGGTCACTTTTTCTCCCAACTTCCTTATTTGAATGGGAGAGAAAATTATTTTTCAGCTTCTTTGTAAAGGATCTTGAAAGCCAATGGGTGAAACACTATATAGCACAGCAAGTGAAACATGGTTTTCTTTCAGAGTGGTTTTTTGAAGGAGGGAAGTGACACAAAGTATTCTTTATCAGAGGGGGAAAGAAGGAATATGGGACTGTGGTTTTCCTGTGAATGAAGGAATGAATGGTACAAAAGCATGACAGGGTTCTTTGTGTTACAAAACAATAGGGCAGAGGAATTGAGAGCGCTTAGAGATTGACTCCTTTACTCCATTTGCAACATTTCTGCCTAAATACCTAAGTACAGCTATACTAGTAACCACAGTTAGATGATAATCTGCAGTGGTGTATTGTTGTGTTTGTATTTTTTGGGGGAAGGGATTTTTTTGGGTTTCTTTTTTCCAGATATTGCTAGTACATCATTTTTTGCCAAGTATTATCTAGTACCTCATTTTTCTGGCTCATTTTTGACTCTGCTGAGTGGCATCCACATGTGATGAACAAGGGAGCCAGAGAAGGAGGTCAGTGAATAGGGTTTGCCACTGCTAAAGTAGAAGCTGTTGTGTCCCATTGTTTCAGATGCTTTTTGGAAAAGCAAAATATAATTAGGCAAGATAGATAAAAAGCAGCCTCTGTGACCTTAAAGTATTCTCACTCACAGATTGTTCAGCCAGCAGTAGAAATGTAGATGAAATGTTTGATGTAATGGACTTGTACTATTATGGCTGCAGTTCTGACTTTTAACCACTGTTAGTAAAATATTGTGTACTTCATACCAAAAACTATCTATGTAGAAACTGGATTTAATTCTATATTATAAGGCTTATTTCTATAATGACACAAACACTATGATTAGAGAGACCTAAACAGCATCTCTTTTAAAGTAACTACTCCATTTTTAGGAATGCAAAAGGTAAAATACAAGTAATTAAGTCAGCATGTGCATTTAAATGAAATAGATAGGATGCCCTGGAATAAGTTCTTAAAAATGTGACTTAAAGCATATTACTTAGGTACTCCACAGTTGCTTGCACCACTGTGGTATCTCTACATACCAGATCTTCACCAGTGCCTGTTCAACATTGTGTAAAGCCCAGCATTGAGCGTAGAGGGTGTTAGAGCAATCCTCAAAGACTTACACAGTTATGTGTGCGTATCTGCACCTGTTGTATCACAAGGAAGCTCTAAAAGCTATTCACATTACGGTACAGACATGCTTGAGATACGAAGAGCAGAATGTTTTATGTATAATGTAAAAACATGAATGAGTTTAGATATACTGAAGTTAAGATTATTGATGTTTGAATTTATTTAACCCTTTTTTCCCCTACTTTCTTTCTGATACATCTTGCAGAATCTGCTTTTCTCGTATCAGCCCCCCCAGTCATCCAGCCGATTTTCAGTTTCCCAGACAGGTGACCTCACCATCACCAATGTCCAGAGATCTGATGTTGGGTACTATATCTGCCAGACTTTAAATGTTGCGGGAAGTATCATAACAAAAGCCTACTTGGAAGTTACTGATGGTAATGATATCTTTATTTTACCATTCCCAAGTTTTTATTTTTGTTGGAAGACAGCAGTGGGATGATGTGACACTGCTTCGGTATTTGCTTTGCATAAGCGCAACTGCATGTGTCTTTGAACAGAAAAATCCTGTTTTGGCAATCTCTGTCAGGGGTTTAAAATTTTGGATATTGTGTAACACAGTATTTCCATTTCATATTTGGTAAGTATACTTCACTAGATTTTTGTTAGATCTGTTAATTTATCTGACGTTTTTAGCTTTCTCCGCTAGATCTAGTTTAGATTCCTTCCGTCTAGCTCTTTATCCCTATTACTGTGTGTCCATTTGCTTAGCATCTCCACTTACCTGCTTTGTCCCTGTTTTTTTTTTTTTTAATATTGCTCTATAGCAAGGAAAAAACCCTCAATCTGTATGGAAGTCAGTAGAATAACATACAAATTAATATTATTGTACATTCCTTTTTAAGGAGCAGTTGGGAAAAAAATTTAAGATAAAAAGAGTTCAGGGGAGCATGACTGCAAGCAGTAATATATGCTGGTGGGAGGCCAACTTGCCAATTCCCGTATTTTTAGTAGCAAAGATACTCAGGATAAGTAATAATCTTAGTACTCACAGAATAAGAAGGAACGTGCAGTCTGTGGAGAGACTTTGAGGAGTAGGAAGCTGTAGTCAGAGAGCAGTTTCCATAAACAAGGCCTTTGCCCTGTAGAAAACATAGAAATAATGTAATGCTAGAAACATGCCATGAACCTGGAGAATAAAACTGTTTATTTACACCTGCTGGCTTGAGGTTGTTTGGAGGAATAGGACTGAATCCTTTCTGGTTTCTCACAAGTGGTAAACCACATTTCTTAATCCACTTTTTTTCATTTACCATTGGGGAAAATGCTATGGTAAGGCGAGAAAAAAATTTGACAAGAAAATTAAAATAAGGACCGACCTTAACCTTACTAGTTTTTCTCTTAATGACCTACACCATCTGAACTTGGAAAAAAACAGTTTAATTTAAATATATTTCCTTTAGTATGAATATGAGCTCTGAATTGATCGGATGGGTAGTTCTTTTGTATACTGTCTGGGGACAATAATGGTTTTTTGCCTTTTTTTTTTTTTTTTTTTTTGGTACTTTTATAAAAGCGAAGGCAGGATATGCAGAATGATACCCTGGTCTTCCTAAGGTAATACAAGTTGCCATTAACTTCAGCGCACTTAAAATTACCCCGGATTTCAGTGGCATTAGATTTCTCCGGTAGAGCACAGACTGGTCAGCCCCTTAGCGTTCGTTGAAAATTGCAGAGCTCTTTACAGTCTTGTCAAAGTTACATAGAAACCATAAGTGAGCTTATTTTGACTGCCGCTGCAGAGAAAGATGCTGATGGCCTCGCAGTGCACTGCAGGGCACTGCAACAGGTTGGGACAAGAACTGAAGGATAAATTACGCAGTTGAAAACGAAGTATCATTTGAACATGCAGATGAAATTGCTGGAGCTGAAATTTAGCCAAAAAAAAGCAGTACTAACACTTTGTCTGTTGTTATGAAAAGTAATTTAGAAATATTTGAAGTTCACAAATTATCAGAACTTCAGATTTGTATTTCAGCTGCCAAACCAGTTTTTAAGTTATGTGAGATCCCATGACACTGCTGAACAGGTTTAGGTAATATAAAGTTGTGGCTATTTTCAGTCCATGTCATGTTGGATGGTACAGGTAGAGGAGGTCACTCAAACACAGTAAGATAGCTTTTGCCTTTTTTTTGATCATCCATTGGATAATGGGAAGAAAACCTCATGTAGACAATCCTTTTTTTCTGTGCATACTGGAACTGCTTCATACCTTTCTGTGCACAGTTATTAAATAACCCATCAATAACATTTAATTTTAATTGTGTGAAAGAGGCATTAATATTGATGCAAAGACACTGTGGGATTCTCTTTGTGGCTTTGAAGTCATATTGACAGATTAGGTCATCATAGAGCTAAAAGACAAAGTACTGGCAAAATATTTCTTAGTGGAAAATTTTTAATATGCTCCAATTCATTAGCTTTGTGTTTACTTTACCCTGCTGCTAGGCCTCTCCCAGTTAGGAAGCAACACCAAGATGAGTTCATGGTACACGATAACATTTTTTTCAGAATTACATACTTGCCAGGTTATCCCCCTGCCTGTCCACTTCTTTTTCTCTGTCTTGGAACGCTGAAAGTACGAATTCTGTTACACAGGCCTGCTGCATGGTAAAAGATGAAAAAGGTGTAATCTTGACAAAGAATTTGGGAAGTTCTTTCTCATTCCATGATCACTTTATAAAGACATTGGAATTAGAGAATGCCTAGCAGACACCACTCTGTAATACGTCATGCTGCTTTACTTTCTGAAGATACCGTGTTATTTTAAAATTCTGTAGTTGTGCGTCGTTGTAGTGCGCCCTGCCCTGAATAATGCATGCCTCCAACTTTAATTACTTGTTTAATTATCTTTAGTTTGTTTCAAAGCCTCAAGCAACTGCTGTTGCTTAGATGATTAGAAAATTGCTTCCAGTTGCAGAAATCTCTTTCCTGTTGTTTCTTCTGGCAGTGATTGCAGACCGGCCTCCCCCTGTCATTCGACAGGGTCCTGTGAATCAGACTGTAGCTGTAGATGGTACTTTAGTACTGAGCTGCGTGGCTACGGGCACTTTAATGCCCACTATCCTCTGGAAAAAGGATGGGATCCTCATTTCCACCCAGGACTCTCGCATCAAGCAGTTGGAGACAGGAGCATTACAGATCCGATATGCCAAGGTAGCTTGAACTGGCAAACGCATTTTCTCGTTGATTGTCTCACTAATTTCTTTCACCTCCAGGCACGTTTGATCTAGGAAATCCTACGAGTTAATGAAATGGTAAATAATTGTATTAAAATATTTGATACTTCATGCTTTCAGATAGTTCATTCTTTATGGTTAACACCTTGGCTTATTCTTCCTAGATCATGTTATTTCAGATTTCTTACGGAAAAATGCTTTTAAGAGGTATTAATTAAGGGAATTATTTGATGCTTAAGACATGAAGGGGAAAGCAAAACTTGTGTTGCAGTAAGACAAATCCTTAAATTATTTGGGCTTTAGCACTAATAGATTGAAATGATCTAATTATTTCAAATATTTATGAAGAAAACCTTTGGTTAGCTATACTGCAGTAGTAGAGCCATGCACACAGCTTTTTCAAGACTAGTTTTACATTTTAAACGTATTTACTCGACAGTGTAAACAACATTGCTTAAAATGGTTAACCACCTGCCAAATACCTGTCTCCCCTGGGGAATCATAGCAGATGCGTGGTCAGTATTGCTGGTCATGCCTCACCCGCTGTAACATGTTTTGAAATGCTAAGATTTTTAGCGTGCTGGCTATTCTCTGCTCTCTTCTCCGTGGTTTGAAATGTAGTAATTTTTTTTAAGTGAGGCTGAATGCCTCACTTTGCTATGTTCCCCAGAGTTGCCCTGTTACCAATTACAAGTTACTCTGGCTTGGAGTTTGAACCTCACGTTTTCGAGGGCTTCCATTCAGCTCATCTGCTGAAGGCTGGGAGGATAGCATTTCTTTTTGGGGGAAAGAAAACCTTTTGAAATGTGATTAAGTCACATATGGGCAAATAATCCAACATTCGGAACTGGATGAGATTAGCATGTGGAGATTCTTTTTTTGGGTCTGCTGTAGAGTGAAATTTACACTAATACAGGGAACCCCATATGTACAAGGCCCTGTGCAATATTTAAGCTTTGTTTTAAGGATAACGCGCTCTCCAGTGCTGTAGTCCAGACAAATCCCCGGGCATTTATTTAGGCAGATGGCTGACAGTTGCATGGGGTCTTGTCATCCTGAGTTCCTTCTCCATTTATTTGTTAGCAGTTCTGCAGAGTAAGGAATTAATGCCTCAAGAATTGGCTTTCAGTTTGTTCATTATAGAATAGGTAACATTAAATTAGAATCTGCAGCTTGTGCAATTGTGTAACATATGCTCAGAAATGAGTATCTATTTTCATTTTGCAGCACACGAAATCATACGTTCTAATGGAAGACGTTTCTGCTTCGAAGTTTTTTGCAGCCTAATACGTTTATCCATATTCGTGGGGGAACACAGAGAGCCGTAATTACTTTTCTAGCTCACTGAGTGCCTGATTGTTTCAAATATTTATTCTTCTCTTTTCCCACTCAGCTGGGTGACACTGGTCGGTACACCTGCATTGCTTCAACCCCAAGTGGCGAAGCTACATGGAGTGCGTACATAGAGGTCCAAGGTAAATCAATTAGGGCTTCTCTGCGTGCAGAAAATCCATAAAGGAAAATCAGAAATTGAAATGCAGAAGTTATCTGACTCTGTCATAAATTGCCAGTGCAGATGTGAACAGCATTTAGCTTACAGCTGCTTCCTGTCTATACTCAGCATTTCTCTCTCCTTTGTTAGAGTTTGGAGTCCCAGTGCAGCCACCAAGACCCACTGACCCAAACTTGATTCCTAGTGCTCCATCAAAACCCGAGGTTACGGATGTCAGCAGAAATACAGTAACATTGTCATGGCAACCTAATTTGAATTCAGGTGCAACACCAACCTCTTACATAATTGAGGCCTTCAGGTATATGAGTCTCATGTGATCTTGCTGCAGTTATGCTTATGTAGAATACGTTGTTAAAGAAGCACGTGCTAACCTGCTGTTGTGTGTGTTTTGTCCTTAGCCATGCATCTGGTAGCAGCTGGCAAACTGTAGCTGAAAATGTGAAAACAGAGAGTTTTGCAGTTAAAGGGCTAAAACCTAATGCAATTTATCTGTTCCTTGTGAGGGCTGCTAATGCGTATGGACTAAGTGACCCAAGCCAAATATCTGATCCAGTGAAGACTCAAGGTAAGCTTTTGATACTGAACATTTTGGGGATCCACAGTAGCTGTCATGAGTTGACCGAGCAAAACCAGATGCAGGAATTCCACTAGCTTTTGTCTGTCTATCCTGGTTATAATATATGCTGTATGGTAAAATACAGTGTTCAAACTTGCATTTCCCTATAACAGGGATTCTAAAAGCTGCTTAGACAGCATATTGCATTGCCTAAGGGGGGACCCTAGCATCTCTTATCCAAAGATAGTTACATCTTGCAGAATAGCTCTTGTTAGCAACAGAAGTTATCTCTGGCTTTAAGTTATCACACAAATCCTCAAATTCCTTGGAAATGTTATGATGTCCATGGAGTCAAATGAGGCTTAAGTCTGAGACAGAAACAGCACATAATCTAATTTGGTTTCTGCTGCATTAGGAAAGAGAGAAATCTAAAATTTGAAGGAATCAGGCATCATGAGCCAGTAACGAAGAGGTTTTGGCAATATATTAAAAGTATTGCAATATTACTACTATTGGAAGTAAAACAGTAGGGAAGAGAGACAATGCGTACAGATGGCCAAGTGGAAGAAAAGCCTGCATAGTAATGGATGAAGGAGTCATTGGCAGACTCCAGCTGTGACTGAAGTTCAGCTATGGACTGAGTCCAGCTGTGTAAAATCTAAAATAACTTTATGTTCACTAGAAAATAAATTTTGCTTATGATGGTGTGCCGGGAATAATGCACTGCAACTTTGCAGTGTGCCTTTTTCCACAGTAAGTACTTTGATTCTTAAGAAGGGGAAAAATTGGACATTGTCTTTTTCAAAGTAGAAGTGATAGAGATCATATTTCGGGGGTTTTTTTCTGCTTTTCCTACTTACTGGAGGAATTGACCCATTGGCTTATTAAGAGTGCCTGTGTTGTGTGTTTGTTTCTTTGTTTGCATAAGTGAGTACGTGTTTGTTTTTGAAAGGAAGTTCCTTAAAGGAAACAAAGCATTTTCGTTTCCTGAGTTTTCATTTGTTCTGAATCTGGTCTGAAAGCAAGCCTTTCTCACGTCCCATGGGAAGAGAACAGTTTCACGTTTCTGTCCTTTGTTATTATGTGTTTCTTCTGTTGAGTGACAATTTCAGTGGATGTATAGACAGCAGAGCCATGGGCACGTGGAAAACAGGGGTTGCACGGGTTCCTAGACGTGTTGCCCAGGAGAGGTTTAGTAACCTAATTTATTGATTTCTGTGTTCCTGGGGATAGGGCAACACACGTTATTACAAGGGCAGGCTGCAGTGTTCTACAAGAGTCTGTTTTTCATGCAGTGTGGTTTCACTCCTGGAGATGAGATGAGGTATTGGGCCTGCATGACCCAACCGAACTGGTCACTGACCTGACTGATAGATGAGGCAGAGTATCCTGTTCGCTCACAGAACGTAACGGTTTATAATGGCATGGAAAAGCTTTGCTGTGCTCTGGCTATCTAGTGGAGCTGAAGACCTGAGAACCACACAAAGCCTGAGTGAAAATAACAACCAATATATAACATTTTCATCAGTAGTAAGGCATGTAATCAGCTGTCAAGTTCTTTACAGCAGTTCCACTCTTCTTGCAATACCCTTTCAGTTTTGTGTAAGTTGTGCTCTAGCTAAGTAAGTTAAAATACTTCCCAATTCACTTTTGTCTAGAGGGTGGTATAGTCTCGTGCTAAATGCATGTCCCAGCCAGGAACCTAAACTACCTTCATCTTTACTCTTTACCAATGTGCCTTGGTGCTCTCGCTGGCAGACCCTGTCTTGGAAGCTTGGAGCTGAAACAAGAAAACATATCCAACTGTGTTGGATAGCAGATGTGGGAATGGCTGAGCCTATTAATAGTTTGATTCATATTGTTGATGACTCATCTGTTATGACTAGAAAAGATAGAACTAATTATTCCACTGACTTTCCTGTTACATTCCAAACAGAGTGATAGTTAGGCAACTCTCCCAACACAATCTTCTCTACTGCTTTCAAACAGGGGTGGGGGAGGGAAATACTTTGACAAATGGACTCTTTGGTGGAACATACTACATGTGGATACAGCAGTGACTAACTGGTGGGGTTTTTGGTTTTGTTTTTTTGATGTTATCGGTGTTCCTTGCTAAAAATCCAAATTTGTCACCCACTGGCTACATGCTAACATCAGTTTGCTTCTTTAAGTTTGAAGAAATCTCACCTTCTTGCAAATATATTGAGGAAACTGTACGATAAAAATTCACAGAGACATAGGCTTTGTATTCACAGAGAGGAACTATATTTCTGGAAAGAAACATGTCCTCATGCCTTCTCCTAATGCATTCTTAAAGTGTTTTTTATTATTATTTGAACAAGACCGAAAGCTGGTAAACTGAGAATATGTCCACCGTGCAAAAACCATGCTTTACAACTGTTGCACTTTCATTTAGTAAGTGTCTTGTGTACCAGCATCAACTGTGCTATCCAAACCTCAGCTTCCAGGACAGTCTACGCACCTGCAGTGACTTACTACAGTCGTTGCAGTTGTACATAAGTGCATGCACAATTTCTGTGTGCTCTGTCTTTGGCACTTCCTGTAAGGAGATGGGTATGGAAATTTCCAAGGTCTTCAGAAAGCAGGACCCTTGAAGATTTCCTGATCTTGCCTAGTCACTAGAGGAGGTCAAGCAGGGAAGCAGTAGACTACATCCAAGTTTATGGAATGCGTAACTCTGTATCTGGAATTAATTAAAAAAAAAAAAAAGAAAAGAAAGAAAGGAAAGGAAGAAAGAAATCACTGTAAGTATCATAGAACCACAGAATGGTTAGGGTTGGAAGGGACCTTAAAGACCATCTAGTTCCAACCCCCCTGCCATGGGCAGGGACACCTTCCACTAGACCAGGTTGCTCAAAGCCACATCCAGCCTGGACTTGAAGATGGCTGTACTTTACATGAATTTCCCAGTCTGTGATTTCTAGCCATGGTCAGCATGGTATTTGTTTAAAATGAAGTGATAAAAGAGACACATGTGAAATCAGTACAGGAACCGTGTTACTCTGCTGTCCTTACTACCTGTGCATTTTAGACACCTTACTAGTGGTTCTCCTATAAATTTTATACATGCCTGACAGTCATTCCATTTCAGCTAAATATGCTTTTCCAGGGCTCTGCATGCAGAAAATATGTTTCCACTGTACCATTGCGTATTTTGAGAGGAATTTGTCCCTTCATGCGTATGAACAATTCTTTTAGCTGTACGATAGACCAAATGCCAGAAGAGCCAGACAGCACTCAGCTGTGCTCTGCCTCCAGTTTACAGAAGCCACTTCCCATCAGAGAAGCTGCAGCCACATGACTCAACTCATTTTTCTTTCCTTCGTTTGTTAATTTCTTTTGTAATTAAAAGCAGGAAGTTTGCCCATGAATTTATCTGAAGTTAAAAGCTTCTGCTTGTGCCGTTCTTGATGGGTTTCCTGGTCTCTTGGAGTTTGCAGTGGGTAACAGAACATTTTCCCAGCAGGAAAGAATAAAGAGATGCTGCTGTAGTCATTTCCCAGAGACGTCTCTAAGTGTGGGGGATTTTCGATCCAGCATTTCCCTCCTGTTTTTCTCTGTGGAAGAAGGTGCAGCACATTGATTTGGTACTATCTAAGCATTGGACACATGCTCCAAAAAATAGTTTGTGTAGTTTTTTTCTTATATAATTGGGAAGTAATTAGGGTGAACTTTATTGGTGATAGCATCATGTACTTTATGGCATATTCTTTTTTATTTAAATATACTTACTAAAAAGCATATATACTTGTGAAAATGGAATCTTAAAATTATTACAGATGTTCCACCAACAAGTCAAGGTGTGGATCACAAGCAGGTCCAGAGAGAACTAGGTGATGTGGTACTACATCTGCACAACCCTACTATCCTTTCTTCCTCCTCAATTGAAGTTCATTGGACTGTAAGTATAAATGTGTGTCATGGAGGTGGTTCTGTATGCTGCTGAATTGTGCTGTTTGACTGCGGTGGAGTCATAGTTTTACGAAGCTGTGCAGTTTGTATGCTTGCAAATGATTTTCTCTGGAATGAACACTACTTGGGCTTTGCTTTCCTACTTCATTAAATTTTGTCCCGTTTTGACCATTTCATGTCTCCATAGAGAGAGGTGCTTACAATATGGTGAGAGCTTGAGTCCTCTGGAAGCCAAAGAACTGATCAAAGCCTTGAGTCACATCATTTGAAGCTTTTGCACTGCTTTCAGTAGGAAGTGTAGCAGTCCCCTAATGAGATAACATGGGCACTTCCCTGTCTGTCAGTCACCAGTGGAGTGAAATACTGCATAATTCTGTTTGAAAGTGTTACTGCCATCCTACACACATACTGAGAAACACCCCCAAACCGATACAGCCTCATATGAACCTTTCCCATGGTGCTACGAATACACACGGTACAGGGAGATGAAAAGGGCAAACAATTTTGAGATGTGTTGACGTGCTCTAACAGGAGGAAGCAGGAGGATATAGCAGAGGAAACGAGAGAGTGAGGAAAAAATACTGTAGGATCCTTGAAGCAAGGGGAATGGGGACATATGTGAAAAAGATTCAAGAAAGCAAGGCTGAGGTTCAGTGAGAGAAAGGGTTGGAAATGGGTTGCTGTGGGAGATGTTTGGCAATCAAGAGGTAGAAATGAGGAGGAAGAACAACATGGGAAAATAAAAGCGACAAGCAATGAGATTAAAAAGTGTAATTCAGAGAAGATCAGTTTTAAAACAGAATGCAGAATGAACTAAAAATGGGGGATAATTATACTAGCGAAGGAGTAAATCCAAAGGGAGTGAGCTTTGAGGTGTTTGCAGGACTTCCATCTAAACACGTCCATAGATTGGGGAAGGACAGTGCAGGAGAGCACAGGGTGTAGCCCCTGCCGTGGCAGAACACTTTGAACAAGAACACACGGCATTTTGACTTTGTAGAACAGCCCTAGCCCAATGGAGTCCTGGTCCTTGACCAGGGTTCCTCAGTCCTGCAAGAGTACAAATAATATCTGCTCTGTTGCACGGTAATTACAGTGTCACCTGCAGCACGGCCACCTGCAGCAGGCAATCTCCTATTTTAACTAATAACGTTACGACATCTTTGAGGTTCCTAGTGTGATTTAGTTTGACCTTTACTTACAGAACAACCTTTTCCAGACAGGCAGTTTTTCTCAGTCTCTTGGGTGGCCTGTGGCTTCTCTGCAATTTCAAAAATAAGCATTACCTCAGCTTCAGCTAACACACGCATTCTTTATGCAATTATTAGAAATTAAACATGTTGCATTTTGGAGTAAAATTGCAAGCAAACAGTTTTACTGTATCATTGTATGAGATTTTTGAAAATAGGGACAATCTGGTGCAATTGTTCTAAAATACTCATTATTATTGTTGTTGGACTTTCTTAATCATCAGAAATTGAAAGTGGTAGTTAAAAGACAGGAAACACTCCATGAGAGATCACTTCTGTAAGATCTGTTTCAGATACAGCCAAACACACTGAGTCCCACCACCGTTTACAATAAGATCTCTGTCCATACAGCTGGTACAAAAGAACCTTGGTTTAAAAAGCACTCCGGACCACTGAGTATCATTTTGATTTGCTTTTCCGAGTCTCAGCTATGTTAGCATATTGAGTTTTATGAGCCTCTCAGAATCCACTCAAAGCAGCCCTTTCCCTGCAGCAGAGGAGCCTCCTGCTGAGTGGGTGGACGTGGAAGAGGGGGTTGGACAAATCTGCGCTCTGGCAGAGCCCAGCCTCATCACCGCAATGGAGATAGTGCCAGCTGACTGCCTTTTCCATTTACTTTCTCCATAAGGAAGCAGGCAGGAAGCAGTGCTCATTTCATGGATTTTGGGAGGCTTCCACATTTTGGGAGAGTTGGCAGGGTCTCTCTGTGATCTCCACATTCATCACCCTGAGTTGTGGAGCTGTAGATCCCCTGCTCTCACCCTCTCCTTTCCCTGTGTACCCCCTGCCCTACTGGGCAGATTGAGGTGGGCAGAAGTCCGGCCTGTCCCAAGCTCCACTGACACTCCGTGGATTCAAAGGCTGTTCATGTCACAGAGCTGGGGTGTATTATACCACACTGTTACCCCCTTCAATGCCTTCATAAATCCACAGAAACCAGTGCAGATCTGCCAGCATCAAAATAATGCACTCGTGAGTCAGGCCTGTAATCTGCTGTAATGCAAGGAGCCTTCATCAACTTCAACAGTCTCGTTTATTTTGAATAGAATGAATGGATAGTCCAAGGACCATTTATAGTATCACAGACATCATTCCCTGTCAGTGTTTGTTAAAGGATGTGTTGTATGTTCTGCTGTCTTTCCAGGTGGATCAGCAATCCCAGTATATTCAAGGATATAAAATCCTGTACAGGCCTATGCCAGCATCCTATGGAGAGTCAGAGTGGTTAATCTTTGAAGTGAGGACTCCAACCAAAAACAGCGTTATCATTCCTGAGCTGAAGAAAGGTGTAAACTATGAAATCAAGGCCCGCCCTTTTTTTAACGAGTTTCAGGGAGCAGATAGCGAAGTCAAATTTGCAAAGACCTTGGAAGAAGGCAAGTAGGAGCCAGGCTGTCTTCGTATTTCCTTTTTGAAGTTGTAGTCTGGCCTGCTTTCCTCTGATATGTTCATTATTTGATTTTGTTTGAAGTGCGTGCTGTTTGAGAACAGCAATCTGCAGCAGAGGAGGCTGTGTTGGACTGATCATTATGTGAATTGTTTGGTGACACAGAAGTAAATATTCAGAACAACACGTGAGAGACGGAGAGAGAGGGATGTGCAAAAATCCTCTCCAGCACACAATGGGAAATGCGCTTTTTATCTTCACTGCAGTGTGCAGTCCTCCCTGCTGAGTTCATGATCTGGTCACAAGTGACTTCTGTCAGATTCAAGCACTTACTAATCACTATCTTGAGTAGATAGCAGACACCACAGAAATCATCAAAGGGCTGTAGCTGAGGGAATGGAAACCACATTTTTAGAAGGCTTTCATATCTGGATCAATCAGTAAGACAGAATGAAAAGATGAATGAGGGCAACAGATAGAGTGGACTAAATTATGTATTTCCATCTCATACATGGGCTGAAAAGGTTCATGAAGCTGTTCCTTTTGTTGCTCAGGCATAATGAGAATGCAACATGGCCAGTGCCTCTGAACATGGATTTCAGTGCCTCTGTTGGGATGGGATACCTTTCCCCTTCTCTCTTCCCAGTTTAAATGCTGTGTAGCTCCGGTTTATTGCTGCAGGTGGTTAACGGCATTCATCCTAGGTATTAATTAAGCCTCCAGTTTTTAGAAAGACTTTTTAAATTCAAAACATTCTGTCCTGATTTTAGTAAGTTTTGTATTACTCATTACGCACTAGTGGAACTGAGGTCGAGCATTCTGCTGGAGTCGATTTATAGACTGTATCTTTCAAAAAGTGTTGATCTTGGATGAGGGGACACGGAGGAACTCAGTGCTCGAGACTCTGGCGTTCAGGTAACGGGTTTCCGAGTTCAGAGTCCGGTGGCCAGCATGACTGTTCTGTCCCGCACAGTGAGACTGCAGCAGGACTCAGGAGCTCGGCTGCCGGCTCACATCGCCTTCCTTATTTATCTTTTAGTTTGTGGGCAAGATCTGCCCTTAATGCGGGGTAGGGCATAAAAGAATGCATTTGTGTAGCCCAGAAACTGGTT